ATTTCGAGCTTTAGCGGTAACATATATATGTTTAAATTTTAAAAATTTATAATATTTCAATTTCTGGTTAAAACCTTTTAAATTTATTGTTTTTATTACAACCAAAGCAATTACAAATTTCTTTAAACTGAACTTTTAATAAAAAATTTTAACTTTTTATTCAAACCCAGGACAATCTCACATATGATGATGTGTGACTTCAAAGATCAAAATACAGAAAATTAGATTTATTAATACAATTCTAATTTTATATCAAATGCATGTAAATGCACACATTGTCCCACAAAAATTACTGGCATTTTAAACTTTAAGGAAAAATCTTGTAAAATCAACAACATAATTTATTCCTGTAAAGCTGGGCAATCCAGAACCTTTTTTGCCTATTCTTAACAGTCGGGCAGGGTGCCCCAATTGTATCGTTGTGCTTTATAGTGAGCTATTTCGTGCGTCTTTGGCGTCAGTTTTGCCTTGCAAATTTGCTCTCCTTGTTATCCCCATTGGGGAAATGATGATTACCAAAATGAATGAATGAATGAATATTCTTAACAGTCAAATCCATTCTCCGTCGATTACACTTATGAGTTTTTCCGAATTCTGATTTCCGAATAATCATATGTTTTCACCTGGGAATAAATTTAAACTTATATCAGGCTCCCATGTGATTTTGGAATTTCAATTTGAATTTCAATTCAAAAGCTTTGCTTTTCCTATTGCTATTCATCTTTACTCCTGACAATACACAAGAACAATTGAAACGACCCAGATAAAATACTTTCGTTTTTAAACACCATAAGGTGAGAATCTGATAAAAAATGCAATTATACAGTTCACAAAAATTATTGCAAAAATGCAAAGAATCCTTCGCTCACATGTATAGGATGACTTAGATTTTTGAAGCAGTGAAAAATGAATAAAAACCTCATCTTATATGCTAGTAAATACGGTATATAAAATTCTTTGTTGTTAAATACTTTAATTATTCTGAAAATTTTATTTTATTCCATAAATATGATTGTTTCAAAGATATTTTTTATGCTGTAAGGTTGTATTCTATATTGTAACCATTTTTATAGACTTAAAATCTCAAATAGGGGGGAAAAATTAACTATTTGAAATAATAATTTTATGCAAGCTTTACATTATATGCATTATTTTAAGATCAAATTGAATAACAGCTTAATTGTAAAAATCAAGTATTAAAAAGATATTACTATCTTTTTAAAATGTTTTTGAAGCAACTTTATGGCTTCAGTATCTGTAACATATCAATCAGAAATGGAAGTACAGTGGTACTTCAGGATACGAAATTAATTCATTCTGAAACTGAGATCATATCATGAAAATGTCATAAGGTGAATCATTTTTCCCCATACAATTACATGTAAAACCAAATAATTCGTTCCAACATGAAAAACACACTCAAATTAAAGCTAAGTAGTACATTGAAAAAAAATAACTTTAGTAAGGAAAACACTGAAAAATGCATTTTGTAGTTGTAAATGTATAAATAACCATAATAGAATAATAATTGATTTAAAAAAATGTAATTTTATTTGCACTTTACCTTTGAGGATAGACGACAATGGAGGTGTAAACTGGTGGCGGAGGAGAGGGAGAAGGGAAATAATACTAAAACTTAACTTACATAACATAATGTAACAATAACTTAAAAATAACTTAGAAAAGATAAAAAAATTAGTGTTGTTTTATATATTGTTTTTAATTTTTATTCACTGCTTTTTACTTTCTTTCTTCACTTCCACCAGCACTTTCACTGGATAGAGGTCGCTTGGTAAAATATCTATCCAAAGAGGTTTTGGCTTTGCCTACTTTTTAAAATTTTTCTGAAATGACTTAGGCAAATGTCATTACTCAGTCACTTTCTGATAATACCTCATAAATCAGTCACTTTCTGATAATACCTCAAGATTTCCTTTATCGAGCGAGATCCTTCCATGACAAAGCAAACACGCAGACTGAGACCAATGAACAGAAGTGAATAAAAAATGGCACTGCAAACTAATGTAACGTCATATGGTGAGTTTTGTTTGTACCGTGGAGCAAAATTATGTTCAAATTTCATGTCGTATCCTGAAAATTTCATATGCTGGGGTGTTTGTATCCTGAGGTACCACTGTACTGGATTCTTCATGTTTCTATTTTGAACCCATAAACAAGAAACATTCAAAAATATTTTAAAAGCTGACTTCTAGAAAGAAACTCTTTTATCTTTTTACATCTGGTAACTTGTAGTAGGATTCTCTCATTGCAGTCATGAATATTGTTATCAATCATTTTGTATTAACAGAATTAGTGTTACAAAATACATAAGTTAAAATACATTTATGAAAGCTTACACTTTATTTCTTATTGCAATGAAAGTTTCAGTTATAATTATCATTACCTCCAATTAAATAGACATTTTTAAGCTGTCAGCATCACTAACCTCAATTCGTGATTGATAATGGGTAATCATAGGTCTTTACAATTTTAAATTGATGACATTTTTTGAGTTATATATTTTTTACTTATTTTAATGTCAGACTGAACAAAATCAGATCTCCACTAATTGTAATTTCATTTACTTAATCTTACTTATGTTACTTAATATTTTCACTCAGTTACTCTCATCAGTGTAGAGTGAGTTCACAAAATTATCATAAGTGTATTCTACTGTACAACGTATTAATAATAATAAGGATAAACTAGCCAGTTTAGTTTATCTGCTGAATTAATCAATACAGTAAAACCATTTATATGGCCATCTTCAGGGTATATAATTTTTGGTCATATAAGTGAGAATCACCTAGGTGGAGTTATAAAAAATCAACATACAGTCCTGTAATTATTGTTCCATACTGAATTCTGCTAAAAGTTTAATACAGATTATAAAAGCAAACAAAAAATAAATTAATTAATTAAATAAAAAATTCAAATAATAATGTATTCTTTGCAATATACAGTAATTTAAAATCTCATACAGAGTAATGTATTAATACAAAATAATAAAACATTGAAATATAGAGTACATGTACAGTGAATGCAAGCTGTTGCAATAGTGTACATTCAAATACTGTGCAGTACAGTACAAAACAAAATTGTTTAGTATCCATAGATGAAATCAATATGTTCATAAAACAGTAATAAAGATTTTATTTAAATATTATATTTTAACAAGAAAATTCAGAAAAATTATTAAATAGAACTTATTAGATATGCAAAACTGTCCAAATGTCTTTTCTGACTGTCAAGAAAAAGTGTTGATAATTAAACTGAAGTTAAAATAACTTTCTTACATAGATACTGGAGCATATATAAATTAACACTCTTAAACCTTAAAAGTCCAGTAGTAAACATTTAATAAAAAACAGTGTTCAATCGTACTTTCGGTGTTCTTCAGGCTTAAAACACCAGTGGATTTGAACACATAAATGAGTAAAACAAAGTTACAAAATTATTTTAAAAAAATGGAACAGCACAAACAGATTTTAAACCAATGCAACACTCCAGGCATATATATACAAAGATATGCATGCACATTACCATGGAGCTGGAATGATATAAGTAATACAAAAATGATATAAATACATATGAATTAAACCGATCGAGGGTGGGGGCGTGGTTTCTAACTACTGGTATGGGCATTGCTCATTCCCTTCATAGCAGTATTTCCATGTGTGTGATACATTGATGGCATCATTAGAGTTAATGCAATTGGCATGTAACTCGGCTTTGTCCGGTGAATCAACCACCACTCTGTTTAACCTCCATTCTCTAGCAAAGGGAGTTTGTGTGAACCTTTTCACCCGCACTTGTAACCTGAAGAAGACCGAAAATACAGTCAAAAGTGTTTGTTTTCTATTAAATATTTACTACTAGACTTTTAAGGTTTAAGAGTGTTAATTGATAATTAAACTGGCTGTCACATCAGACTGATATTTTTCTTTTATTGTGTGTTGCAAATTATGTATCAATGACATAAACTGATCATCACTGATTTACAATTAGTTTTACAAAATACAATCAGACTTTGTATAAAATTATTGAACAAATATATAATTATTTTTGATCTTACTAAATTCTGCCAGATAAATTTAATTTGTCCAGTGTAAATTATTTGAATGTCATTTTCAAGAGGAAACCTAGCAAACTGATCCAAAACTGTAGCAACATAGCTCAATTCTATTAAAAGTGCTTTAAATGATACTTCCCCCCCTAGTCCATTGACACCATAAATAAAGACAAATATTACTTTAGGATAAACACACCTAGACACTTTTATATACTACTTCAAAAACTAACACAATTTATTTCAGGGCATTCCTATCTTGGCCACTTCAGTGAAATGGCCAGTGGCCACCAAGATGAAGTTTGACTTAGATTAAAATTTATGCAGTTTTACAAGGAAATTTCAGCAGTGGCCACATGATGTTTTACTAATTCTTCATTTTCAACTAAAGGTAATAAAAATGATATATAAAAGTTTTAATGAGTAATATATATATAAAATAGTATAAATTTATAAAGAAAATTTACATGTTAATAAGATATAACAACAACATATTGTTATAACATGCATACTATTTATGTAAATAGCATAATATGAATAGTAATATGCCTTTGATATTTTAATGACAAGATAAGAGAGACATCAGCAAGATTTTTCTATTTTTTTTTTTTCCTATTATTTCATTATGCTTATCACAATGTATTAAAACAATAAACACCAACTGTATCAGAAAACTGGAATTGTACATAGAAAATAATAGATAAGAAATTAATAGATAAGAAATTACATCTCAAATATACTAATGTTAGAATATTGAATTTCTTTGCTAGAAATTTTGCATTGAGGTATAATTTCTTATCTACAATGTATTAATTCAATACAACTAAATTAATATTTTATTGAAATTTTTAATAAATACATACATATATATTATATATATAACTTGGATATATAGCTTTAGTTTAATATAAAAATTAACTGTCATACTTACATTTGCATAGATTTTGGCATGTATATAGCATTTTTCCATAAGCCTCCACACATCGGCAATCTAAATTTTAAAAATATTATGCAAGACATACATCAGAATTTTCAAATTTAAAAATTTAATATATTCTAATTTAAGACATAAATTTATAGTTTTACAACTCTTTTTTTCAAATTTATGATGCTTTATAACATCTTTTTTGCTTTATAGCTGTAATAATTCATACTTGATGAAAAATCTGTAGTTGCAGAATGTCATAACTTGTCAGCTGCATTACAGACAGCAGAGCAGATGCTGTATGGTGGCCAGAAATGGCTGTGGGCTATTAAATTGTTCCAAATAATTCATACAAGCAGAAGTGGTAGTTGTGCAAAAAATGCATAGTCAACACATTGTCTGCCTAGTGGTGAATTTGGAAAGTATGATTCTATAAAAAGTCTCTCTGATATCAGTGATTTGGATGTAGAAAAGAAAGATGTTGATATTTATTGTGAACGGTAAGAAAAGGCCATATATTTTGGAACACTACTACTGAACAGTAAGAGCATCCATAATGACTGGCCAATTCAAAACAAATTCTTACATCTTCCATCCACAGGAAATACAATGCACCACATGGCCACTCTTCTGCAGAAATTCACTCATCTGAACCAGGTCTAATGCTTCAAATAAAAATTTTTTTTCCACTTTTCCAAATGCATGTTTTTTTTTTTTTTAACACAACAGTGAATTTTGTCAGAATTGGTTATTTTAATTCAATTAAATTATTTTTATGTAGTATTACAAATATCAAAAATCAATTATCTTAATTTGAAAATCAATAACCAAATATCAAACTCAGCTTTTAAAATACTTAATGAATTATCAATACACCTTTTGTTGCTGAGAAATATTTATTAAACAAAACACTAACATTTTCAATCTAATCATTAGGTTGAAAATGTTAATGTTTTGTTTAATAAACATTTCTCAGCAACAGAAGGTGTATTGATTATTAAGTATCAAAAATCAATATCACTGAAATATTACAGAAAATATCAAAATAATTTGCTGAATGTTTAAACAAGAATGTTTCCTATATGAGAAATGAAATAATGAAAGAAATAATGTATGGACCATCAACACTTTGGCAAGTGACCACACAATGGAAATTTTATCAAAAAATACATTTGTTACGACGTGTTGCTAATACCATAACGAAATCTGCAAAAATTCAACAATTTACAGTTTGCATTATCCAAATTAATTTTTAAAATTTTTGTTGCACTGCGTTGTCACAAGCAACACTCCAACCACTCCTATTTAAAATTAACCGAAACTCAACATGCATTGTCACTTTGCATTTTTTCCTGCAATGATAACAAAAAATAGATGCAAAATGTAATGATATTTTTTGTAAGAATAAATTGTTATTGTGTTGTGCTGCACTCATTGAAATAGGAATATGTGATTTCATAATATTTCAAATTACTTTACATTTTAATTGAAAAAATTAATNTGAGTCACCTTCTTGACTTTTAACCATTAGGTCAGACAATAAAAATTTTTTGTTGTCATTTTATAAATTTTTTAGAAACTCTTCTCTAACCTCAAAATTAAGACTTTTGCCTTTTTATGATAAATAATATAATAATTAGTAATAAAATCTCCTAATAGATATTTTTTGTAAGAATAAATTTTAAATTGTTATTGTGTTGTGCTGCACTCATTGAAATAGGAATATGTGATTTCATAATATTTCAAATTACTTTACATTTTAATTGAAAAAATTAATCGAATTTATATAGCAAACTTTTAAAAACATACTGACACAAATATAAAAAAAGATTAATAGCTGCAAGTGAAGCCATGCTTGTAGTAGTCACTCGCCATTATAAGTGCCAATGCCAAGAGTTTTTCCTGCAGTAGTCATTGTACACACTCTCACAGTCTCTCTCAGACCTCAGCATTTTTTTTTTCTTAAAAATTATTTGTGCAGTGAAAAAGTGTCAATTGCAAAAGTTAGTAAGATAGGAATGTTTTCAGATTATTTTTTTTACATAATTTTAAACCTAAGAAAACCTGAAAAAAGTGTGATGTGAGACTCCATGAACTCCCAGAGGAATTATGAGTTATCACCATGAAATTCAATTAGCACCTTAATTATAATAAATTACTCTACTTAAGAATAGAATTAGTTTACATCAACTAAATTTGATTGAAACATGCATTTTGAGACAAATATATTATTGAATGTGCGTTTCTTTTTCTATTTATTTATTACAACAAATTAATTAATATTTTGAACAGCAGGAGAAAAATAAAAACAAATTGAAATACTTTACCTCAAAGCGTACGCCATCTTGTTATGGCTGTTTAAACGTTGCCAGATAGATTAAAGCACTCCCGATCTTAAAGTGTGCGGCAAGTCCTCAACATTTTTTTTTTTTTTTTTTTTTTTTTTTTTTTAAACTTTTACCGCCCTGTGGGCACTAAGAAGGGCTCTTTTAGCAAGTCCATTATGGACTCGGCTAGGACCACAATTCTCACCAGGCGTAAGAAATTGTAATTTTTGAAGGCCGCGGTCAAGGACACCTATCGCTCTGGGTGACCCGGGATATGTCGGGCCCCGTCCCTCGTCACCCGGCTGCCCCATTGTGGGCCTGGCCGAACCCATAATGGGCTTGCTAAAAAGAGTTCCTCTTTGTGTCCACAGGGCGGAATGAGTTTTAAAAAAAAATTCATTTTTCCAAGAAAGTGGAGAATGACAATATAATTATCGTCGGTATGTCTCATTTTTTCTGAATGTATGTAAATAAATATTTCAGTTCAATCCACTGTCTTATTTGATTCAACTTTTAATCACGTAATATTTAAAAATCAAACGTAACTTTCAAAATTATTAGTCAAAAATGATTACTTCCTAAGACTTGATTTATCCATAATTTATTTACTGATAGATAGTTTCGGAAGACGGCCGCCAGGGTGTAGTTGTTAGACGTTTGTATAAATTTTAAGAATCAAAAAATTATCGCCAGGTGGCTTAAGAAGTGCGGTAAGAATTGAATTATAGATAGATTTATGCGGAGGTAAAATTACGATTGAGTATTGTTTTAAACACAGTTTTGATAAATGAAACATTTCTGATATTCTAAATACTTCGTTTGTCGCTAGAATGTAAGCAAATATTTCATAATGTAAACGTTTAATAATGGTAAATATTTTTTATTGATCTAAACTTTTAAGACGAAAGATGATTATGTATTTTACCAGATGTAATCTGTCAAAAGTGACTGGAGGAGAAATGAAAATCATTCAATTTTGCATTTTCTCACCTTCCATTTATGAGTTATTTGCAGGAAGTGTTTCACATTTCTGTTAGAAATGCGTAACCCAACTACACGTACTGTACACTGATGAAAAAATACGAACTTTTATCTGAATTTAAATGTAATAAAACTTCCCAAGCCAAATGTGCAAAACAAGAAAACCTTCCAAGAACAACATTGATAGGAATTCTGAAGAAAAAAAGAGGAAATTAAGAAACTTTCTTGGGTTGTTGTTGTGACTGTCTCGAAAACGCCAGAGAAAGTTGTCATACAAAGATGCTCTAGTATGTTGGCTGAAGCAAATTCATTCATTGAATCTTCCTGTTTCAGGGCCAGTACTGAAACAAAAAGTGATGAAAATTGCTGAGGTTCTTGGAGTAAAAACCAACTTTAGTTCCAGTGATGAATGGTCAGAGATACATTGTATATGGTATAAATCACTACTGTATTTTTCTAATTGTAGTTTTGTGGTTTTTATAAAGTTTCAAGCTGTCATAGCATTGGATGTAATTTTTCTTCAATACAAGTCAATTGCAATTCAAAAGATATAAATGTAAAGATTAATCACAGAATATTCATTAAATTTAATCAGTTAAGAAAAATTTAAATTTGAACACCTTCCACCAATAAAAAGTGTTTTGTGTAGAACTGCAAATGCACAGACAAGATATATTGTTAGATATCAAACAAATTATATATTTTGCTAGGTATTTATATACTTAATCCATGTTTGTAGGTTTATTAATTTTTTACTTTTCCGTCTTATAGAATACAGCATAGGGTTCCATATAGTGATTGGTCAAATTTTGACCCCTCCAGTTTTTTATTTTTTTAGCGCACTCCAGTATAGTGGTGAAGTACTTGTGTTAAGACTTTTGTGTCTGTCAGATGTGCACACATATGTCCATGTACATGCACAAAAGGTCACTGAACATTTTCATTTACGGTCACTGTAAACTATAGTAAAAACTAAATGGTTCCTCTGGAATCTAAATCACATCCCTTACTGTATATTCAGTGACAAATTCTTCTGAACAACTACTTGATTCCAAGAATTTATAAAATTTATTTAAAACAAAATTAATATTTGATTCACTTTTGTGGAGCATTCTATCAGATAGGCTTGACCAAGCTTGTTACACTTAAGGAGCCCAAAAATTAAAAAAATACACTTACAAAATTCTCTGTGTGTATTTTGCATTATCAGGACTGGATTAACCAAAAATATTGGAACTTTTCAGTTATTTCTATATATGGGGCATTGATACTATTAAATTTTAATGGTTAAAAGTCAAGAGGGTGAGCCATATGTCATATCTCAGATATGATACATGAGTCACCTTCTTGACTTTTAACCATTAGGTCAGACAATAAAAATTTTTTGTTGTCATTTTATAAATTTTTTAGAAACTCTTCTCTAACCTCAAAATTAAGACTTTTGCCTTTTTATGATAAATAATATAATAATTAGTAATAAAATCTCCTAATAGATGGTGCCACACAATTTTATTTTTGTGCTAGTTTGCCTTAGTTTTTTAAACTTAGATATTTTAAATAAAAAAATTCTCAGAATTAATGAAATTACTCCTCTTAAGCTGTTGTTGTTGTTTAAAGTTTATATTGGAGTATATTTTAAAATTATTGAACTTCCTAATCTTTAACCTCCTGTTCAAATGCTGCAAAAGTTGAGTAAGAACCCTTACCAGTTTTTTATTTTCATTCTCACTTGAATTTGTTTTGGTGGCTCTGCAAAGGGGAAGATTTTTATGCCACTGGATTTCAGAAGGTTTTATCAGTATATATTGGAACAAGTGTTATGCTGGAATGACTTGAAAATTTATGTGTTTTAAATTCTTACCTTGAATACTTAAAACAATAATAAAACTGCACATTAATCTTGAAATACCTTATAATTAATTATTGGGATATAGCTTGTAGCTTTTAAAAAAAACTTAACTAATTAACAAAGCATAAGCTGCCAACACCATGTTGTGTGCAAACCTGTGTTGTCAGTAGTTTAACCATTTCTACTAAGCATATTCCAGCAGATTTGAACAACTCCATCCATTGTCCAAAAATAACAACCAAAGCTTGTGAGCATATGCATTTGAGAAAATCTTACATACTGTAATCTAGTGAGTAGTCTATTAAAAATAAACAAATGTATGTGAAAATTGATATATGAAATACTTTAATCTTAAAATTAATTTTTCTATTCTCTCTCTACTATATATATACTAGCTGCAAGAACCTGCTTCGCTGGGTTTTTATTTGTTCGTACATTTGTATGTAATATAGTTTTTTTTATATATATATAAAAGACTGTTTTTCTAAGTAATCTAGAATCTAGCTGCAAGGACCCGCTTCGCTGGGCAAAAAGTAACGTTAGTGAAGATTAAGATAATTACATCATAGCTAATCTTACCCGTTTTCACAGAATGCAAGAATTAGGTCCCCCGTTTCCAGACTAATTAGAGAATTTTTACGTTTAGTCAAACGAACTATTTTCAACGTTTCTGGAATGTTTACAATCGTTTTATAATCGAACCAATATTCGAATTTTATGTTTGAATTAAAAATTTGAACAAAACATTTGAAATAGAAAGACACTTTCAGCCTCATATCTCCTGCACCCTTATAGCTATCGAGACGCAACCACCCCTATGCATGAATGGAGACTTGGGGCTACCACCACATACAAACACCATTCACGTGCGATGTGTAGTTTTGGCGGAAAAGTGAAATATAGGGACATACATGTCACATGTCCATTTTTATATATATATAGATAATTAATGTGTAGTTATTATTTAAACCCTATTTACAAGAAGTTTTCAGCCATGAAAATTCAATTTCTTTACAACATGGTCATATGTTTACAGACAAGTTGCTATATGGAATTGCCATTGCTTAAATGAGGCAGAATGGAGTATTTTAGTCAAGAGTGAGTTTTGCATAACTGATGTCAGCTGACTGTTGTGTAAATCAGGCTTAAGACTTATGCCAAATTGGATATTGCATTTGTGAATGAACATAAATAAAAATAATTAACTATAATACTTTCATGAAAAACTTGAATTTTCATACAATCATCAGATCAGATCAATTCATGAAATATAAGACTGTTGATTGATAGGGGCTGTTGATAAATTATGTAAGGTACAGTATTTTGAGATGGAAAAGTGTCAAGGATTTCTTACGATTTCTTACTCAGGGATAGGGGATAATAGATCTTGTCTTACGTAATGTTATTAGTTTTATTTTTTGATCTCGTTGAGTGGTGGAGTTTTGAATTTAGCTTCAATTTGACACTATTTGATTAGCTTCAATTCTATTAAGAATGCTCATTGTACCAATGCCATCTCGTGTGACATGATAGAATAATAATGCTAGCAGACTCACACTCTACACATTTTTTCTTNCTACCACCACATACAAACACCATTCACGTGCGATGTGTAGTTTTGGCGGAAAAGTGAAATATAGGGACATACATGTCCATTTTTATATATATATATAGATAATTAATGTGTAGTTATTATTTAAACCCTATTTACAAGAAGTTTTCAGCCATGAAAATTCAATTTCTTTACAACATGGTCATATGTTTACAGACAAGTTGCTATATGGAATTGCCATTGCTTAAATGAGGCAGAATGGAGTATTTTAGTCAAGAGTGAGTTTTGCATAACTGATGTCAGCTGACTGTTGTGTAAATCAGGCTTAAGACTTATGCCAAATTGGATATTGCATTTGTGAATGAACATAAATAAAAATAATTAACTATAATACTTTCATGAAAAACTTGAATTTTCATACAATCATCAGATCAGATCAATTCATGAAATATAAGACTGTTGATTGATAGGGGCTGTTGATAAATTATGTAAGGTACAGTATTTTGAGATGGAAAAGTGTCAAGGATTTCTTACGATTTCTTACTCAGGGATAGGGGATAATAGATCTTGTCTTACGTAATGTTATTAGTTTTATTTTTTGATCTCGTTGAGTGGTGGAGTTTTGAATTTAGCTTCAATTTGACACTATTTGATTAGCTTCAATTCTATTAAGAATGCTCATTGTACCAATGCCATCTCGTGTGACATGATAGAATAATAATGCTAGCAGACTCACACTCTACACATTTTTTCTTATGGGAGAAAGGTAGTGTGGTGGTTTCTCTCTCTCCTCTCTTGTTTTGTTTTGTATGACGTTTGTTTACACATGTTTACTAGTCAATCTGTCAAAATTTTTTGCATCCTTTTGTGAAAATTAATATAAAAGTGAATATTATGATGTTGATTCATGATAATAATAATGAAAAGATTGTTGATAATTAAAAAATAAAGTTCTTAAAATAAATTGTTCATTCGAATTCATTAAATTTTTATATTTTTAAATTTGTTTACATAGTCTTTTATAAATAATAGTACATATTAATTAACTAATTAATAATTATATATTTTGGACCTAGGTTTTTAGGGTTTCATAAAAAAACTTTTTTTTTTCTTAATATCTTTCTAAAAAAATCATGCTTAAATATTACATAAGAAGATAGGGAAGGGGAGAGGGATCAAAAAAAGTATTACGGTTTCTTACACGGTGGTGGAGGTCTAGAATGGCTGAAATTGCCCTTACATAATTTATGGACTGCTCCATAGTGACAACTATTTTTTTTATTTCAAATACTACAAGATGCATCTGGAATATATAATGCTTTTTTTAATCCTTATTAAATTATGAACAATATGATGATAGCTCCATAATTGTATATGTAGTACTTCCAGTGTGATGTCAGCAACAGAGCCATCTGGTGTATCCTCCCTCAGCCTGTACAAGTTGTATGATGTGTCTGGAACAAAGATGTTATGCAAAAATTGCTGATAAGCATGGAATAACAGCACATCAGTGTTATGAAGAATTTATAAAAGCTGAAGATACAAATGCTCTTTCTTATTGTTCAGTGGCAAAATGATTTAAACTGTTTACAGGAATCAGAGTGCCAATGAACAGTGCAGTGGCTGTCCTGTTACTAAGGTGAATGATGTGTCTGTAGCTGTAGTTTTGCAATGTCTGAAGAAAGACTAAAAATTTACACCTGTATTGAAATAGACTAAGACTAATCTGAGTTTTTATACATGATAACATATTCTCATTGAAGTACTAGGGAAATAAATTTTATTTTTGATGCCTTCATGCCTTTCCAGATGTTCAGAAATGGATTTGTTTTTCAATGTGTGATCATTCTCTAATGAATCATTACAATGCTAATCAAACAAAGATTTTGTATGTTTGATTACCATTGCATGTTCTACAACTGATGAGGATCTATAAATTGGACCAAAAACATTGTTGTGCATTAAACAATTCTTACTGGAGTAATTTAAGGTATAGAGTAAGTTTTATTTAAATATTCCAATAAAATTTCTAAAAGCCAAATTAATCTGGATTTATTAAATTTGAATTTGAAAATAGCTTAAAAATCTTTATATGTTGGGTTGTTCGGAAAGTAATTTCGTTTTTTTTACCACTAGACGGATTAGTCATATTTTTCCTGCCATTTTCATTCTAAACCGTATTATCATTATATATTTTATATATTTTGACAACTAGCATTTTAAGGCTTATTTGTAAAAAATTTTGTTTGATTTTGTGCAATTGTTTATTTTTTGTCCCCCATCAAAGCAGCATATTCGGCATATTTTGCTCTTTTATTACTGAAAAGGTAAGAATGCTGTTCAAACGAGAAAAAAATTGTGTGACGTGTATGGAGAAGATGTATTGACAGAATGACAGTTCCAAAACTGGTTTACAAAATTTTGTTCTGGCAATTTTAATATTGAAGATGTGCCACATTCTGGATGGCCAGTTGAAGCCAATGGACATAAAATAAAGGTACTGATTGAAGCAAACTGCCGAATAACAACACGTGAAATCACTAAGAGATTAAATTTGTCAAATTGAACTGTTTATGATTACTTGAAACAAATTGGTTTCATTTCAAAGCCTGGTATATGGGTTCCACATGTTCTTAAAGAGAGATGCTCTCTTTGGTGGGATTTTAAGAAATTTTTTTTTGGAGCTTTTACCAGACAATTTAACAAGTGATTTGAAAGTGTACTGCCATAGAGTAAACAAATCGAGTAATATCATCAAACAGAAAAGGCGGCCAGAATTGATCAACAAAACAGGTGTAGTGTTTTACTGTGATAATGTCAAATTTCACACAAGTTTGGTAACTCGTCAGAAACTGTTATAACTTAGATAGGATGTGCTATCACACCAACCATATTTGCCAGATCGAGCGTGCACAGATTATTACTTGTTCTGGTCTATACAAATTTTTTTAACTGTAAGACATTTACTTGAAGTGACAATGCCAAAAATCACTTGGATCAGTTTTTTGTAAGCAACGATCAAAATTTTTATGAATGTGAAATCATGCTACTACCAGAAACGATGACAACAGGTATTTGACCAAAATGGTCAATATATAATTCAATAAAATATTTATTTATTATAAAAATATTGTGTTTTTTTCCATGTAAAAAAACGAAATTACTTTCTGAACAATCCAATAGATAGAATTTTTAATATAAATATGTTGATAATTTTTTATTTTAACAGAAAAAGTTGTATTATAAATGCCTGAAACACAGATTCAGTATTCTGAAAAATATTATGATGATGCTTATGAATACAGGTGAGAATTGTTCATAAATTTTATTGAAATTTGTCTAATAATAATTTGATTTATTGTCTGCAAAACCTGTCCAAAAATCATTTCATTCTTTTATTTTACACATTGTTTGATCTTCCTCTTCAAGATTTGATAACTTTTTTTTTCTCTCAGATGATCAAGCTAATTTTTTATTTTTTCATGTTTTTCTTTTCTCTGCTTCTATTAATTCCTCTCTAAGAGAAAATAGTTTTATTTATTTATATTATTTTGTTTAACATAATCTATTTTCTAGAAGAAAATGTCCTCATCTATTCTTAGTTCTTCATGTGCAATTCTTTTAATCCAGCTTATTCCATTTTCCTCCATTAGTGTTATCATTGTTTAGATCAATGTTGTATAAATTATGGATTGCAAAAAAATTTTTTAGGTTGTGAGAAAAATTTCAAAAATAATAAAATACAGTAGAGCGTCGTTTATCTGAATCAATTGAAGACTGGGGTTGTTCGGATAACTGATTATGTACGAAAAAATACATAAACCTATCCCATGTTGAAATTTTTCTCCATTGCAAGTCGCCTTGCGTTGAATTTTAGTCGATGTTTAGCCTAACATAAACTTTTTAAAATAATAATCGTGGCTATTGTATCGTTAAAAATTATTTCTTTATTTTGTACAAACAAAATAAATACACTGAAAAATATAAAAACAAAAAAATTATACTTTGGAAGTTAATCTAGTATCAAAAACGCTCGATTCAGCATGACACACAGTCCTGAGAAAAACACCACACAAAAGTGCCAGTGCTGCCAGCTAAAAAACACACATCAACAAAAAATATTGGAGTAGCCAAAGATTGCAGCACCACAGCACTAGCGAAAATTTAAATTTGCCTACTGGAATTCTTTCGGATAAACGACGCTCTATTGTACAATATAAAAACAAAGTAAACTAACTAAGCTTCATTCAATATTATTGAATAATTAAAACTAAAAAAAACTAGATTGTATCACATTTCTTCCTAAAACAGGATACTGTCAGTAAAATTGCATGCAAAACACTGATGCATTACATTTAAAACCATAAATGAGATGGTTTCTTATTACCCTCATAGTTTTAATTTTAGAGTAGCATTTTCCTGTAATATTCTATTGAATGTAATTTTTGAAATATTTAAACTTAGTAAAAACAATAAAAATTTAGAGTTAAATAAGACGGATTAAATGCTTTTTGCATAGCATATTAGCATATATTAAATGGATAAATTAAATAAAATAGTGTAAACAAATAATTAATCTTGTTTTTATTAATATTAGCCATTTATTAATATGTTCCCATTATATCTTTCTTTGTCCAAGGAACAAATTTTTTCCTTGACAAAGAAAAAATTTTTCTTTGTCCAAGGATTTTTAAAGATTTTGGCTTTCAGCAACTTGTTTTGTAATCATTTCATAATAAACATCAAACAGTACAGGCCTCATACCAGGTCACTTTTTTTAAAATTTAATTCAAATATTTATTTATTATCAAAGGTATTGATTTAAAGTTATAAGTTTATAAAAAAAGTTTGAATGTAATTAATAATTAATGAACAAAATATCAGTTTGTTAAAAATTTGAATAATTCCAAGTAATTGAGAATGAGATTCTTAATCTATATATGATTTGAATTATGTAATTGTTAATTATTGTACATTTATATTGTTAATTATTGTACATTTATATTGTTAATTATTGTACATTTATATCTGGCAACACTTGAAAAGTTGTTAGTCGTCAGAGTTTCGTCTGGTTGTAAATAAGTTCTGTTAGTTATTAAACTTAAGTATTAAAAGAATAGAAAAAGAGAAAAGGTAATGCTTTATTTTTTGTCTTAACATGGTAGCAAAGCGTGGTTTAAAAGAAAAAACAAGAAGTGAAAAGGGTTAAATAATTTAAGAAAATAAAGAAAGAGCACACGTGGTAATGGCGGCGAAGAACAGTGATATTAATATACCAATATTTGATGGAGCAGATTATAGTAACTGGAAATTACGTATGTTTAAGTTTTTACAATTCAAAAAGTGTAAAGATGTAATGAGAGCTAAAATTAAGACCGATGATGACGAATGGGATGAACGAGATATCCAGGCGACTAATTATATCTATAGCGGAATAACTAACAAACAGCTAGAATACATAAGCGAACTTGATATGGCTTATGAAATTATCCAAAAGTTTGATGAGATGTATCTGAAAAAGTCAACAGCTCTGCAAATTGTGTGCCGACATAACCTTGAAAGTATCAAATTGAAAAATTATTCAGAAGTATGCTTATTCTTCGACGCGTTTGAAAAGGCTGTGAACGAATTAAAGCAGGCAGGTGCAATGATATCAGAACAAGAAAAATTAAACTACATGTTAAAATTGCTACCACAGAAGTATAGTCATATTGGTGATTTAATAGATGTTTTACCAGAAAAGGAGAGAACTGTTGACTATTTGAAAAGCAAAATAAAGTTAAAAAGTGCAGAGGAAAATTCTAATGAAGAGTCAAATGATAGATCAAATGTATTTCGAGCTGAAGCCAGGTCATCATTTCAGAATAAGTTGAAATGTTTCAGCTGTGGAAAACCTGGTCATTTAAAAAGAAATTGTCGTTTTGAAATTGAAAATCGTAGTCGAAGTCATGGTTTTTCTGTTTATCGAGGACGTGGATTGTTCAATGCCAGAAACTTTCAGAGAGGGCGAGGAAATTTTCATCAAAACATACATGAATATCAAGGAAATAGTTTTCAGACTACCATTGCAAATAATACTTATATTAATACTACAAGTAAAAACGAAAAGTCAAAGANTTTCGATTATCCGGATTTTTCCTTATCCTGACTACCTTCATCCCCAATTAGTCCGGATAATCGAGGTTCTACTGTATGTAGATTTATATCATTCTATGTGAAAAGTCATTGAATTGCTTTTATTTGTCTTAAGATATTTGCTATTATATGAGTGTTTTTAATTTATTTAATTTTAATGAAATGGCAATTCTATGTTTGTGAATATACTAAAATGTTCTATGTAGTATGGATGCTGTATAATACAGTTGTATATAAAATTACTTTAATCTGTGTCAGTTGATTTTCTCACAGCAACTCCAAGTTATTATTTAAGACTTTATTGTAATATATTCTTAAATAGATTATATATCATATACATTTCAGGCTGTTGTACATTCATAGCCCCTTTTCAGTGCTATTAAAGACAACACAACAATTATTAGAATTGACACTATTATGATCTCAAAAAATCTTTTACATTTTGATTATCTATATTTACTTGCATGTCTTTAAGCATGAGAAACAATTCTTAAAATTCCAGTACACATGCAATGTTCTCATATAAATACCATTATAAAACCTTTAAACACTTTTTTAATAAATGGGTAAAAAATTATATTACAATAAAGTCTTAAATAATAACTTGGAGTTGCTGTGAGAAAATCAACTGACACAGATTAAAGTGATTTTACATACTACCAAAATGTTATTTTTGCTTTAATTTAATTACTTCAATTAGTTATTATATTAATATATAATTAAGATAAAATTTCTACAGATATTTTGATATTCTAAATTTAAATTTAGTATGTAAAATTATAATATGTTAATGCATTTTACAACTTGCTTTCTTTTTTTTATTCTTGGAGATAACCAATAAATCTTAAAATGTTTAGATAAGTTTTGAGAGAATATTTTTGGTAAAATAAAGCATTTTGTATTAATAATGTGAAACATTATAGTATTATTAGTTCACAAAATAGCATTATGTGAAGCATTAATAGTATTATTACTTCACAAAATAAAGCATTTTGTGAANTGTAAATTATCTGAGCCGATTTCAAAATTGTTACGATGAGAGAGACTTTAAATGTGCTTTGCGAGTCCTGAAGTACTTGTACTTGACAAAAGACTTTAAATTAAAATATTATAAGAATAATAATACTGATATCTTAGATTGTTTTGTGGATTCTGACTGGGCAGGAGATACTCTAGACAGGAAATCTACCACAGAATTTATAATTAGATTGTTTGGAAATGTAATCTTTTGGAAATCCAAAAAGTAGAATAGTGTAACAAAGTCTTCTACATTTGCTGAGTATATTGCATTATCAGAAGCTGTAACAGAAATAAATTTTCTAATTTATCTAATAAATGAGGTTTTCATTAAAGTTTGTAAACCAATTAAGGTATATGAAGACAACTCAGGTGTAGTAGCCATTGCTAAATATGGAAGCTTTACAAAAAACTCAAAACATATTGAAGTTCCTTATCATTTTGTGCATGAGAATGTTAAGAAAGGAAAAATTGAAGTTGTAAAAATAGAGTCAGAAAATAATAATGCTGATATTTTTACCAAGGCATTAGGAAATGTCAAATTCATTAAATATAGAGAGATGCTAAATGTAAAAGAATAGAATATAAGATGATAAGATGTGTGAGATTAAGATAAGTTGTTAATAGAGCTGTCAAGTTGGCTGTTACTTTTCTTGTATTTAACATTTTTGTGTTATAATATAAATGTAAGGAGGTGTGTTAATTATTGTACATTTATATCTGGCAACACTTGAAAAGTTGTTAGTCGTCAGAGTTTCGTCTGGTTGCAAAGTTGTAAATAAGTTCTGTTAGTTATTAAACTTAAGTATTAAAAGAATAGAAAAAGAGAAAAGGTAATGCTTTATTTTTTGTCTTAACAGTAATTTACAATGCTTTTCCATTTTGGCACTCTCTGACTTTTAGTTAAGTTAATGGGCCCCATTTTATGTTTGTTTTGATCATTAACGCATTATGACAGATGATTTTATGAGTGAGATTTGTAATCGTTTAATTTGAAAATATTAATGTAAATAATGACAGAATTTGATTGTTTAATTTTAATAACTTGAATTTCAAGAAGTTAATACATAATTTATCCTATTATTTTTTTTCAGACATGTTATTCTTCCACCAGAAATTGCATCATTAGTTCCCAAAACACATCTTATGACAGAAACAGAATGGAGAAATTTAGGAGTTCAACAGTCTCCTGGTTGGGTACATTATATGGTCCATACACCAGGTAAAATAGAAATAAAGGATAAAATGTTTTAGTTTTATAAATAATAGTAATTAAAATATTGTAACTTGTTAATTCTAAAGTTGGAACTATTTTCTAAATATTAAAATTTACACCTTCCTCTCACATTCCAGCATTCACTGATTAAAAATGAACATATTTGACTACCTTCAGTGGCTTGCGTCTGGTTAAACAGATTCTATATCAAACCTTTATAGCTTGTTTGAAGTTTGGAATAATGCCATTTTTCTTTGATGTACTTGTCTTTGAATTAAAATTTACTATGTTTATGTAAAGATTACTATAATTTTAACAAATTAAATGAATAGTTACAAACAAAAATATGAAAATGTCTCTAATAAATAATGTAAATGAAAAACTAAAAAATTAAATTATTTGGAGAGATGTAAATTGCTATTATTGCATGTATTACTGGTTGCTGCTATTTTTTTAAGGGGTTAACTAATATAGATTGCCATGCTTTGGATTTGGATATAGATTTTTTTTAATGTTAATGCAGCTTCCTTTAAGTGTTGCGGCAAATATTTCAAACACTTCTATGGTTCTTAGTTTATGGTTATCAAATGTGCATTTTAAAAGCTTTGCTTCTGTCCATCGTGGAGACACCCCTTGCTTGCATATTGTGCTAGAGTTGTACTGTATTTGTTTTTACTAATATTGTAGTGGTGCTCTTTGAGTCTTTGCATCCAAGATCTATTTGTTGAGCCTATATATGTTAGATTTCTACACTGGATTACAAAAAAAATAACGCACCATGAAGGACTTGTTGGATTTGAATAAAAATTGGTATATGACATCGTCATTGCTAGACAGATATATGATTGCTACCATAAAACAAAAACATACTTTATTGTGCAGTAATATGCAATACAGTGCAGAAACTAATATCCTGTTGGGCCGCCTCTAGCGCGGATACAAGCTGTGATACGCCTCGGCATGGAGGCGTAAAGGTCGTGAATAATGTTCTGAGGCATATCTGTCCATGCATGATGCAATTGGGACTCAAGATGCGTCAGATCCTGTGGCTGTCGTAGCTGGCAACCCAAGTGGTCCCACACATATTCAATTAATGATAAATCTGGAGACCGTGCAGGCCAAGGAAGTGTGGCAACGTTACGTAGGCAGTGTGTGGCCGGGCATTATCCTGCTGGAATATGCCTGTCAGAAGCCCTGCCATGAGGGGCAACACATGTGGCTGGAGGATGTATTTCACATATCGTTGGGCTGTGAGGGTAGTACGCATGACAACTAGAGGTGTCCTATTGTCGTATGTTATGGCTCCCCACACCATAACACTGGGGGTTGGGCCTGTGTGCCGCTCCACAGTATAGGCCGGGTTGACACCTTGACCAGCGGGCCGCCACACTCTCACATGGCCATCGTGAGCCCCCCCAAACAAAAGCGGGATTCGTCGCTGAACACAATATGCTGCCAATGGGTAGCAGTCCACGATTGTCGTGCACAACACCACTGCAGACAGAGGTGTCAGTGGGTGGCTGTTAACGGTAGAACACATACTGGGCGTCGGGAGATCAATCCGCCTTCTACTAAGCGCCTGGAAATGGTGCGGCTGAATACACAGTTCCGTAATGCAGGTGCCACCGCTGCATGAATGGTAGACAATGAAGCTGTAGGCACTGTCCGTGCTTGACGTACAATGAGACGATCCTCCCTTCTTGTGGTCTGTCGATAGCGTCTGGAACCCGTTTGCCGTTCATGTGTACCCCTACTTACCCACTGCTCATAACACACCCTAATAGTTCTATCAGAATGGTTCAGATGGCGGCCAATCCGGTGGTATGACCATCCTCCTTCTTTCAATCCAACGATGCGACCTCTCTCAAACTCACTTAACTGAGTGTAAGGCTGTTGAATGCGTCATAGAGGCATGTCTGTCACTCAATGAAGACAAAACCATGAATAAAAGCGCAGAACATATGCACAAGTCGTCACAGCGTGCACCTTTATACCAGGCAGCGGAAATATTTTTTTCTCTCTGGTGGTGATATAACACAAGAACCTACTCTCAAAAGCTAATCATTTACATATCTAGCTAAGATGATGCAACATATCAATTTTTATTCAAATCCAACAAGTCCTTCATGGTGCATTATTTTTTTTGTTGTCCAGTGTATTTAATCTGTTGTCATACAGTGGTATGGAATATACCCCAGGAATTTTGCTATCTTCAATCTTATCCTTATTGTTGTTGAGTAGTTTGTATACAGTTGATTGCATTTATAGGCTAAACAGGTATTTGTTTCATTATGATCTTGTAAGTTGTACTCAATCTTGGCTTGTAGTCAACTACTATGCATTTACGATTTTGAAATTTTGTTCATAGTTGTGCTCCTATGCTCCTAGTCTATCTTTTTAAAGTGCTCTTCTATGGTATATGCTAATGTAGTTATTAGTTTGCTGCTGTAACCATGCTCTATTGCTATATGTTTTAACTATTGCATAGTGTCTTTGATATTAAAGCAATGAGTATTTGTTCTTTTTGTTAAAGCCCTACCTTATAAATATAAGGATCATTAGATGAAGGTATAAAAAGAGGGTGTTGATTAGGTTTTTATGGTACACTTTGATAAACATGTGGCAATTTTTTAATTGAATGTGGAGGTCTAGGAAGTGGGTCCCAGTTTCACTTTCTTGTTCTAGCTTTAATATAAAGCCATAGGAATTATTATTGAATTCCTGTAACATACTTTGTATGTTAGGTTTAGATCTCCATATGATTAAGATGTCATTAACACAGTGTATGTATAATAGAACATTTGGCTCAATTTTGTTTAAAATTTTGTTTTCTAATGCCCTCACTACCATTTCACATAAGTTGCCTTAAAGGGCATCCATTGGAATGCCTCTGTTTTGCAGATAAGTTTGGTAGTTAAAGGTGAAAACATGTAACACATTAGGTGTGTGAATTCTACTGAGTTGTCAGTGGTAAACAGGTGAGGATGGTACTTTCTGAAAGAGGAAGTCTCGTAGAGTGCAAAAGTATGGTTCTAATTTAATAGCGGGACACATTGATTGAAAGTCTAAAACCGTTATATATTCACAATCAGTTAATGTGATTTTTTCTAACTTAACAATGAACTCATTGGGATTGGAAATGGTATGTTTATATCCTTTGAGGTGGTCTATTAAATAGCCATTGTAGTTTTTGCTGTATTTTTTACAAAACTTGCACCATTTGTTCTTCCAGATTAATAACTTTAACGTTAACATATAACATGTTCAGATCCTTAGCATATAGGGTGTTCTCGAATATTGTTACATGTAATTATTCATTTAATTTGTTAAAATTATAGTAAACTTTACGTAAATATAGTATATTTTAATTCAAAGACAATTATGCCAAAGAAAAGTGACTTTATTCCAAAATTTGAACCAGCTATAGATGTTCAATATAGAATCTGCTTAATTAACCTGATGCAGGCCAATGAAGCTAGCTAAAAACATTCATTTTTATCAGTGAATGCTGGAATGTGAAAGGAAGGTGTGAATTTTAGTATTTAAAATATTGTTTCCACTAATGTAAGTGTAAGAGAAAGATATCATTATTAACAATACAGAAAAATGCTTTAATTAACCCCTTTAGTTCTTCGCCCGAGTTAACTCGGGCATGTTACATAGCCTTACATAAAACTCGGTCCTTTCGGCCCCCCAAAAAATGTTTGTTTTTTTTTTTGAATTTTTGGAATGTTTTTTAAGTCTCCAAATTTTTTCAAAAATTTTTACCCACGCAAAAAAATTTTATCGCGATTTTAATGAGTCTTTGATAAGGCTCGATTAAGGCTTAATTGTTTTTTAATGGGAGTTTTTTTATCAAATTTATTTTATGGTTCCTAAGTTGTAGCACATGGATTTGACTTCGGTAAAGTTCTTTAAAGCTGCTTTCTGATGTCAAAAACACCTCCAATAGTTTTTTAATTTTTTTAATTAGTAGATTTTATTATATACATGTTTAATTAAGTCGGGGGGTCGGAAATCGCAATTAAAATTTGAATTTTTAAAAAATATTTAAAAATATACGGCCAGCTAGAACTCACTCTACTTTAAACTCTTATCCTCCGGAGACTTCTTTGAGAATGTCCCGGGAAATCAGACTCCAGCTGTGTTCAAGGTCATTCAACTGTGTAAACAATGACTCATCGGTGTCAAATTTCGCAGAAAGGCGAGACAAAGGAAAATAAAGTTTGAAGCTTTTTCTTCAAAATTAACACATTTCTTTCGTTTTTTTTCCAGTTTTAAGTATTTTTTATGTTTAATTACATTAATATCAAAAATTGCTGGGAACGTAAGGTGTTAATGGAGATAAAACTCTGTGAAAATACAACTAAAAACCGAGCCCAAAAATGTTTAAACAGTTTCTATAATTCTCATCTTCAGAAATATTTATTATAAGAATGCTGTTGTTATGGAGATTAAATTGAACTAGAACAAAATCTAATTCTATTCAATCTTCCATCACAATGACTTTCTTATTAAGATGAGTATTATATCCAAGATCATTTCAATACGAGGGCTGTTCAGAAAGTTTGCGGCCTCAAATAGAACAACAAACAAAATGTTAAAACTTTTTTTATTTTTCAACGTAGTCTCCTTTGTTAGCAATGCACTTATTCCAGCGATGTTCTAGCTTTTTTATGCCATCACAATAGGTCGATTTGTCAAGGTGTGCAAAATACTCGTTCACTTCAGAGATGACTTCGTCATTTGAGTGGAATCTCTCTCCAGCCAAGAATTTTTATAGGTTTGGAAAAAGATGGAAGTCACTGGGGGCCAAATCAGGTGAATACGGTAGATGTGGAACTAATTGGAAGTGAAGTTCGTTTATCTTTTATTCATTGATTCTGGTGGAATGTGCAGGTGCATTATCATGATGGAACAGAACCTTTTTCTTCTTCAAGTGTGGCCTCTTTTCTTTGATTTCTTTCTTCAGTTTTTCCAAAAGTTCACAGTAATAGACAGCATTG